TTGTCACAATATTTTACTTGCTTAATTAAATGTGTTACGGTGTGCCCTTTTCTAGCGGCTTTCATGAGAACCCTCCGCATTCCATGCTGGCCTTCCATCACTGACAAAATTATCTTCTTTTATAAGAACATGGATTGCCTTAGGTAGTTTGAGGTAGTATAGGATTCTTAGTGTGCTTTGCCTTCGTGAAATGCTTAAGAGTGTCATCGTATTACTGAATTACCTTAGCCTTTTTCTCAATTATTTGTTCTCGTCTAGACTAGATTGCAGTTTAAACCTTGCCCGTCTCATCATTTATCTCACATTAAGCCTCCTAAAGTGATTCATCTTCTTATTCGAGACATAGGATAGTTTCAAAGCATACTACATATTTATTATTGTTTGTCCATTTTATCTTTGGCTTGTATTTATTCCTCTTTCCCTCAGTGTGCTAGAAGTGACCTTTTGGATCCCATCAGCTGCGTTCTAATCATCGGAGTTTATATTATTTATTCACTCATTAGATCTTGCAGAAATAGTTAAAATTTAACAATATCAAATAATACTTTTGTCCTTACAATGCTGCTAAATAAAACTAAACTAGGAGGTCAGGAATTCTTTTAGTTCTCCGTAGCTCAGCACTACAGAGAAGATTGGTTGCTTTATTTACATGAACCTTGGTTTTAAGCCTCAGGCTCTTCCTGCTGTATGCTATTTATTTTAAATGCTTAGAATGTGCCTCGCCATATATCGTTTTTCTCTATAATGTAAATTTGCTTTGACCACTTACCAGATTTAAACTTCTACTTTCATTCTCCTCATTACTACCCTTTCCTTGTTTTTCAGTTTTAAGGCCTCCTGCAATATTCACCTTAATATTCACCAAAGTATCTATGCCCCAATTCACATAATATTATCCATATTATTTTGTATCAGCTCTTAGATAATTACAGACTTTTCATTCTTGTATAAAAGTTGGTCCCTTGCTCACGTTATGCGTATTTTATGATCGGTCTTTGGCAGATTAGACTATACAGCAGAGCAAGCCAAGATATATTAATCGATGTATTTACAACGCTTGATTCTTCAAGGCTAGTGGTTAAAGTAGGCATATTGCATAAGTCAATAGATAGAATCACAATTTTCGTATTTATTAAATGTTATAGAATTTATTCCCGTTCACAAATTCAGCTTGAAGGATACCAAGATTCCTGAGTCAGGAGCAATTTGAGTAGGAACTGTATTCATCCTTGCTCTCATAAGATGGTGAAGGCCTAATAGTTGAATTTCCCTACAATGATATGAGTGTATACTACACTGTGCCATTTAATTTTGCATATCCGTGTTTCTCCCATGATACCCTCATCCAGGATAGACTGCATTTTAAGCCTCACCTAGACCTAATCATTAACAAAAATGGGACTCAAACTATGGTAGTTAATAGTATCATTTCGAAATTTTGCCACTACGTTACATTGCTATCAATGCCAATGAATCACATGGCAGGCATGAATTTCGCAGACCCTCCATTTTCTGACCTCTGCCATATTTTATTTTGAAATCAACTTTACTTTCATTTCCACGGCAAGGTATTCTAGAACGTGGAGCATCTTTCATGCAAATTATGACCTTACATAATCGCTTGTACTGGTTTCATTTGCTTATATGGTTCTCGTTTTTTCACTCTTGACTACACTTAACGTTTTATTGCCTTTTTAACTTCCATTTACACATCGCACAACTTAATTGCAACTGCCTTTTTGTATTTTTTGCCTTAAAACAATGTCGAAATACTAATGGAAATATTCTGCTTACCTCTCTGCATTTTCGGCGATTTTCCTTTTTCTGAGGTTTAACTCTGACGTTTATGACTCAAATTAAATGTTCATCTACTTAGAATTTCGAATGCACACAAACTTCATGTAAAACTTAATATTTTGTCACTTTCCCATATCATTGTATGAAAATTTATCAATCAAACTTCCATTACTTAGGTTTACTATGGCTCTTACTCATGCTATACTGATGGTATTGAAGCCTACTGAATATGAATATAATTTATAGCTGTCACCGTCTAGCATAGTTGATCCCATCAGCTGTCTCCTTTTTATTGCTCCGTTTTTGCGTTTGTCGTTTCAATCCAGAGGTTTCGGCATCAGTTCTATCTCGATCTCTTGCCATCCATAGTCAATTTGTGCTTAACGCAATTAGTTAACAGTAGTGATCCGTTTACATATTATCTATTCACGTATGTCACAGCAGCAGAACCAATACACCAGGACAGTTATGAAGTGCTAGATGATCGTCGGGAACAACTATTTACTTTCTGATAGCTTTCTTTTCGTCTCTTGTTCATCCTAAATGTTTGAAGGTTTTTTTTCAATCTTTTTCTTTATCTTATTAGGTTTGTTAAATCTTTCAAGAATACCTCTTATCATTCACTAGTTCAATTCAGTCACCATTTGGGCCACATTCTGATGCTATCATCTTTGTATAAAAGTGGCTTGACCTCGTTTCCGCAACTTGGTCGTGTTGTAAGGGCGATTTAGATAAAGCTACCTCGTCGGAGTCCTCTTCCCTAGTATTCATGATTATTTCCAATGTCGGACCATGTACTCTTACATCTTTCCGTCTCCTTTCTTTTCTTTTGCAGATCAAATGGCATTGGATCTTAAACACTTTCGGGTTGGTGTGTCTTCTGCTCGGCTTCATGGCTGTGTTCACGGAGAAGGTGCTCACTGGCCGGCCACATTTCGCCAGCTGGCATGGCTTGCTTGGTGGCCTCGTCTTGTTGCATGCGATCTTCCAGACAATACTTGGCTGCTGTCTGCATCAGACGCGCACGCATCGGCCAGTACATCAACAGCAGGCTCGTGGTGGATCTCTTTACACCCCTCAAACGCCCAACATTTTCGTGTTATCTAAAGCCTGGATCCCCAGCCTCCGGCTGGCCCATGTCACCTCAGGTGGGCTCTTTTTCCTCCTCTCCAGTGCAACCATGTGTCTGGGCCTAATCTCTTCTTGGTTTACTCGAAGTCTGGCCGTTGCACTTGGCCTCTCCCCACCAGAGCCTGGCAGTTCATTTGCCCTCTTTGATACTACTCTCCTAGTCGTTTTGGGCCTGGCTGGATTGGCTATCGTCCTCCCCAGCTTAATTGTCGTTAAGCAGGTGACTGATTCGCACCTCCATGGTCTACAGACGCTTTGGCGATCATCTCAACGCCGGAAGACATCTGATTTTGCCGCTGCCAAAGGTGCCTCAATCAGAGCTGGGATGACTTCACCCTTGGCTTTGCATTCAAATAACCGGGAAAGTTCTGGGATGGCCAAAGAAAAAGGCCTTAAACAAAAAACGCCAACCAATGCCACTGACGGCATTCGCCGGCGAGGCAAGCAGACACACAGGATGGAAGTGAATGGGGAGGGCGCCGTCGCTTCTGGTGATAAAAATGGAATCCGTCGTCGTCGCCGAGGTCGACAACGAGGTGCTTTGGAGTCTCAGAAGCAGCAGCAGCAGACGTCTAAGAAGAAGAAGAAGGGCTCTAACAACAAGAAAAAGTAGACGGCTCTGTCATCGCTGAGGTCATAAAAGCTTCATACGTCAACTTGCCGTTACGACAGCATTTGAGCTAGGCTTTTTCATATTTACGCATTTTTTTCATTTTCTTATTGACCGGCTTGTCTTACTTAAGTGGGTCGAGCCAATGGAAAGTCAAACATCCTTCTCTATCCCCGATATTTCACTGAGTCGCATTTTCACGTTTTGACTTTTTCTTCCCCTACATCCACTTATATGCACTTGCACACCCAGACACCTCTACTGGTGTTTTACGCTTGACTATATTCCCTTTATTTATTGTTGTACACTTTAATGGGCTTCTTGCTAATGACTATTTAGACTGCATTTGTTGAATTGAAACAATCTTTTAGGTTATATTTACCTTATGAGTCAATCAGTCAGCCCATCATCCAAAAAGCAAACAAAGCAGACAATCGTTTAGTTATTCTGGGCTATTCTGACTCATTTTTGGCGATCCATGTTTACCTTATGTGCGGAATAACTCATGTCTACTTGTATACAGGACTATGGTTTACTTGTATATTATTGCATCTTATTCGAACTCCACTCCTTAATATAGACCTCAACGCACTACCTTAGGCAAATTTTCCTTTCACTTTGCATCTAGATTTCTTTTCTATTTGGATGCTATCTCTATTATTATTGTTCATGTTATTATTCCTTGTTTATTAATGCATTTTT